TGTGTGTGTGCGCGTGCGTGTGTGTGTGTGTGTGTGTGTGTCTTTTCCCTGATATGAAAAGACACAGAAAATGGTTTTCAGTATTTATTTTTTATTGAAGTGGAATTGTCTTTCTCATATGGTTCCGTTCCCTTTGCTTTCTCACTGATTCAGGCAGCTCAATGACCTTCACTTCAAAGCATCAATTTTGACCTGTTCTCCACGATTCCTTTCTTCCCCATCAGTCTTTTCATCTCTGTTCAATGTTGTTTTCCATTAGCTCTTGCATTGACTGCAATATATACTTCTCACTGGTTTTCTGCATCTCTCTTTTAAACTCCGACATCCTTTTGCCTTTTTGTTTTTGTGTTTTTTCTGTAACTAATTTCTTCATTCAGTGGAGATCCACTAAATCAGTCCGGCTTGTGTTTTAGAGCTTGTCATGTTACACTGTCTAGATCAGCTTGGTTCTGCTTCAGGAAGCAGATTTTGGACAATAAATGATAAAAGATATGGGATGCATTTTCTCTCCTGTTATTTATTATTTTAAGTTATTCAGTCTGGTCCACTTTGTAGCTTATTCTCATTACGATCCACCCACTTAGACAGGAAGAAACTGTCAGACGATTCTATAAAGTGACACATTTGTTTCGTTTTGACGTGCCATTTATGAGCAGATTTAAACAATATATAAGAGTATGATTTTGAATGCAGAACATCAGTTGTTTTCAATTTGCAGACTAACTATTAGTTTATGGGGTGGTATTTTATTCATGTGATCACCATGTTGTCTTTCTGTGTCCAACTGTATAGTTTGGAGGTGGAGAATGGCCCCCCTATCGGCTGCAGTCCACTGGACCAGCAGGCGTCACCGAGCTCCGGTTTGGTCCTTCATCCCAACATGGCCAGTCACGGTCAACGGCGGGAGTCTTTCCTGTACCGCTCGGACAGCGACTACGACCTCTCGCCCAAATCCACCTCTCGCAACTCCTCCCTTGTTGGAGAACAGCTGTGAGTAAGAACATTTTTACACCTTAACCGGCATTATAATAAACCAAAAGTGCTCAGTCCTGTTGCAAATCACAGTTTGTTGAAAATAGTTAGCCAAAGGTGATGTACTTTTTCAAGTGGATTGTACATGTGTATCCATGCATGCTTTTCATTAAATTTTACCCACAACCCCTATGGAATCGGAGGAGCTTGTGATTGTAACTTTTTCAATTGAGAAATTGGTGGGAAATACTACGGCAAAATTAAAAAATGAATAAATAAACATCGCAACGAGATAAATGTCATTGATTTTTCACACATTTATTTGTATTCGTTTTTTTGTTTAGTTAGATATTTACTTATATATTCGTTTACTTATTTGAGCTTTTATTTGTTTTATATGTATTTTATTTTAATATTTATTTGTATTTATTATTAGTTTATTACTTTTTATTTTATTTTTACATTTTTTATGTTTTACAAAACAAATCTTTAGGCATCTGTTAATAAGTACATGAGGATGAAATGAAAATCTTTTGTGAAAAAAATAATGTATTAATAATTTCCTGTCTTAGCAGGGCATTTAATCCATTGACATTTTTATTTATTAATTTATTTATTTTTAATTTAAGCAGATTCACAGTGATGGGATAGGAAGTTTGGAATTTTGTATTTATTTTTTGTCAGGTTTTAGGACATCTGTGAGAACACTATGAGCAAAAGAAAGGTTCTGAAACTTTATCTGCTGTTTTCTGCTGTTAACTTACAGTGTGCTTTGCATATGATTTGATCTCATAGAACATCTTTTTTTTTCTCATCATACATTTTTTGAGGTCTTCTTTGCCTCCTCTGAGAAAAACTAGTTTCACACTCTAACATAACTTCCAGCAGAGTTTAGCTCAATCAGTACACACCTGAATCAGTAAATCAAGGTCTTCAATCTCACCATTAAACTAGATCTCCACAAATAGGACTGAGCACTTCTGCAATAAATCATTCAACTCTTAGCAGCTGCAGTACAAACAGGACAGAAACTACAGAAGCAATGCAGAAATAATGCATAACATAACCTATTTAAACCTGAGAGATAGTCTGGTCTTGAGACATTGCTCAGTATATTAAACAAGAAGTAACATGAAGTAAAGAACTAATGCAATGATTATCTAAATGTTTAATTATTCTAGCATGGACAATACAGCACACATGGGTTTTGCATTATGTATGATGTTTGTGTTGTTGTTGTTTTTTCTCTTTTTTGGTTCTAAGACACAGTGAAGACCTGATAGTCACTCCTTTTGCTCAGGTATGTTTGGCTCTTGCTTTCTGGATTGAAAAACGGAGACCAAAATGTGAAAGATTTTACATGTGTTGACTGTTTCAAAGTCCTTTCACATCTTTGTTGCTGTCTTTTTGTTCAATAGGTGCTTGCAAGTCTTCGCACTATTAGGAATAATTTCAGAATCCTGACAAATGTCCAGTGCCCCTCCAGCAAGTACGTGACATTTACATTTGTTTCATAAAATGTAATGTGAGAAAATACCACAAGAGGGCAGAACTCACTTAATATCATTTTTTGTCAGACTAACTGGATACCACACTAACCTACTGTACTGACCTTAGTCCTTATAATGATAATGGTAAATGTCTATTGATTTAATTTTTTATTTTTTTTTTTTTGCTTGGTCGTTGTAACAAAATGTACAGACACTTTGACTTTATTAAAAACAAATTCGGTAAAAAAGTTACTCTTAAGGGGCAGTTTCCTGGACAGAGATTAAGCCTAGTCCTAAACTAACATGTCCCTTTGAACCAGATTAACAGAAATCAGTTTAGTCTAGTCCAGAACTGAATAGGCTGATTTCCTGAAGGAAGACTAGAGCTACTTTTTTTTTTTAATTTCTGTTTTATGAAGGTCAACAATCTGTTGCTACACATCAGAACTATATTTTTTGGTTGTTCGCAATGTGATGGATGACTAAGGGAAATTGGCCGTTGTGTTCCTCATATTTATACTCTTGTGAATCAGGAAGTCATGGCTGGATAATTTCATGTTCCTAGTCACCCGTGTGCTAACAAATGGAAATATAAATGGAAATATAGATCTTCAGAGATTATGCTCATAATAATTTCTAGGGGTACAAATAATTGTGGCCAATGTGAATGTGATTTTGGTGAAAAGTTACATTTTTGATATTTTTGTTACTTTTTAAATTTTATTTATTTATATTTTTTAAATATCAAAAGGAACAACAATACAGAATCAATTTCACAATCTTATTTGATTATATGTACTTAGGGTGCCAATAATTCTGACCATGACACACTCACTCACTCTCTCTCTCTCTCTCTCTCTCTCTCTCTCTCTCTATATATATATATATATGTGTGTGTGCGCGTGTCTGTGTGTGTGCGCGTGTGTCTGTGTGTGTGTGCGCGTGTCTGTGTGTGTGCGCGTGTGTCTGTGTGTGTGTGCGCGTGTCTGTGTGTGTGCGCGTGTGTCTGTGTGTGTGTGCGCGTGTCTGTGTGTGTGCGCGTGTGTCTGTGTATGTAACAGCTGTCTGGTGTGTGTGTGTATAACAGCTGTCTGGTGGGTGTGTGTGTGTGCGTGTGTGTCTGTGTATGTAACAGCTGTCTGGTGTGTGTGTGTATAACAGCTGTCTGGTGGGTGTGTGTGTGTCTGTATATATATATATATGTGTGTGTGTGTGTGTGTGTGTGTATAACAGCTGCTTTATTTATAACATAATGGGGTGGTTTCCCGGACAGGGTTTAAATTAAGCCAGGAGTAGGCTTAATCTAGAATAGTTAATCATGGTTACAGATGACTAACTCCTGGACTATGGAGTCCTGAACTAAAATAAACTAGATTCATTTAAAACCAGCTGTGCTAATCTGAATTAGCATGTCAGAGGATGCCTATAAAACGTGGAATGAACCAAGAAAAGATTAAAATTGTATGGAACTGAGAAGCATCTCTAAGGGAAACAATGGCAGAAAAAAGACTTTGGAAATATGGAAAAAAAACTTTACTAAACAAGAGGAAACTTTTTAAAGCAAGCAAAATAAACTGCACACATCAGGTGTGGACTAAAAGAATAGCAATGCCTGGAAATCTGTATATTATGAATTCTTGCAATCAGCTGTTGTCAGTTTTTCAACATTTTTATTATTATTGTTTATTGAGGTGGTTTCCCGGACAGAGATTAAGCCTAGTCCTAAACTAAAATGGCCCTTTAAACCAGATTAACAGAAATCTGCTTTCTCTGTCATGGTTTTAAATAGTCTTAGACTTAGTCTAGTCCACAATTTTATAGGCTGATTTCCTGGAGTAAGACTACACTTTAAAAAATGATTGTGATTTTAACAGTAATCGACTGTAAAATGCTACAGTAAAAACCTGTTAACTGGTTAACAGTAAGTTTCTATACTATATTCGGTGAATAAATGTAATTACATTTAATGTGATTTCACAGTAAAATAGTGTTAAAAATGCGTTTTTTGGAAGTGAAAAAGAAAAAGTCATTGTATAATTTACAGTGAAAAACCGTAAATTGACACTCCCAGAATTCCCTGGAAGACCCTTCATATTTGATGTTTTTTGTTGAAATAACATGTTTCTTCTTAGTTGTTCTTATCAGTTTTGTACACTAGGGTTTAATCTTAAATCTAATGTTGTTAAATTCATGTTTATTGCATTATTTCAGTATCATGTGTGTCACCATGATGGGGTTTAGTGTTTGTGTGAATGACACTGTGTGCACCTTCTATATAAAAGTATTGTCCTCCTCAGCTCGTAGAAAAGCTTTTTTTGATGAGCTTTGGTTCATCGTGTGACTTTCTCATCACCATCAGTTTTTGGTGGTTATCAGTGCATTACAATGGTTCAAATCAGATATTAGTACTTAAATATTTTGGTTTATTAACATTACATCAGTTAATGAAATACGGTATTTTATTGTGAATTTAAGTTAAGTCTGTAAAACCTAAAATGTTGCTACCATATTTTTTACGGTGAAGTTCTGGCAACCACAGCTGCCGATATTTTACCGTAAATGTCACAGTTTTTTTTTTACAGTGTAGCGCTACTTCAGGACTAAATTGAAGCTTAAATTAAACATGCTAGAAGGCGGGTTTAACTTCAGATTAACGTTGTGTTTCCAGTCTTTATATATCAAAATTATTGGCACACTTGGTAGATATGAACAAAGAAGCCTGGGAAAATGAACATGCACTGTTAATCATTTTGATCTTTTATTCAAAAAGAAAGAAAAAAGAAAATTCACAAAACCCTAACCTTTCATTGAAGTAAGATGGAAGGGAAATCTCATTATGAAAGTATTTTTTTTCTAATACACATTGGCCACAATTCTAGATTAAGCCTACTCCTGACTTAATTTAAACCTGTCTGGGAAACCACCCCTAAAAGTCTAGTTTGCTAAGTTGGTGAATGAATTATCGGTTTCTATTGAATGTTTTACAATTATTTTCCTGCTTTTATCTTACTAATAAGTATTTCTTTTTCCTGCTTCACTTAATAGAAGATCACCAGTCAGCAGTCAACCGCCGGTGACCAAAGCCAGCCTGTCAGGTAAGATCTTCTGCATCCGTTCACAGATGTCAAACTGAGGAAAGTTCCCTTACAATGGTTGTTGACCTCAATGTGGCATCAATCACTAATTACTAAGCTGCAGACCTATAGCTGAATTACTCATCCTCTTCACTTGAAGGCTTACAGCACCATGAAGTGGAGACTATTATCTGTGTTATGAATAAATATGAAACGGTAAACAACTTATTAGCTAAGCTGAAAGAGCATTAAAAATGTACTGGGTAAAAGGGAAATCTCAACAGAAGATGTAAAATGTGTCAAATCTTGTAAAGCCTGTCAAGAATCTTTTCATATTTCACCTAAATATATATATATATATATATATATATATATATATTATATTAT